TCATGACTTTTTGTTTTTCTTTTTCCCGCTGATAATTTCTGGGCAGAGAAAGTAACTTTTCACGTGTTGGAGGAAGCTGCTCCGGGAGCGAGAAGAATCTGACATTTGATGGAGCAAAGCGACTCCTCCCTGTTTCCCCAGCCATCCATCACTTCAACAACTTAAAGTTTTGGGGCGTGGTGACACCCAGGAGGAGCGCGGCGTTCCTGGCCAGGTGGAGCCCCTTCACGGTCCTAGGGGCCGGCTCCTGGGTGCATGCGTGCGCCGGCGGCGGCGCGAGGTGCGTGGTCCTGCGCGTGCAGGCTCGGCCGTGCCCCGAGTGGATGGCCCCCACGACCTGTGCGGGGCCTCCGCCTCCGCCTTCTCCACAGCCCTGGGCCTGGCCTGGGAAGATGCTAGCTATGGGGGCGCTGGCAGGCTTCTGGGTCCTCAGCCTGCTCACCTATGGTTACCTGTCCTGGGGTCAAGGCTTGGAGGAGGAGGAGGAAGGGGCTTTGGGAGCGCAAGCTGGAGAGAGACCAGAGCCCAGCACACCTACCGCCTCCCAGCCCCACCTGATCTTCATCCTCGCGGATGATCAGGGATTTAGAGATGTGGGTTACCACGGATCCGAGATCAAGACGCCCACTCTTGACAAGCTCGCTGCGGAGGGAGTTAAACTGGAGAACTACTATGTCCAGCCCATTTGCACGCCATCCCGGAGTCAGTTTATTACTGGAAAGTAAGTGTTGCTACCTCTCATGTTTATTCCCTGGAGAAACCTTTGGCAGGTAATTAACATTCTACTTCTAGTTTAAGGCCATAACAGAAAGTATGGGGAACAACTGAGTGAATGAATGATGTACGGTGTTATGGTGTTGGGTCTGGTGACTTAAAACAGATGCCCCGTTAATTATCTTCAAAGTCTAGTCACCAGTCTAGTCTCGTTTTCCTCTCAGAGCCTCCATGGATCTTCAAATGATATCGCTCCTTGTAAATGTTTACCCACCTCTAAGATCTCTAGAAGTGGACTCCTGATCTATACACACACACACACACACACATATATATACATATATATACATATATACACACACACATATATACATATATATATACATACATATATATATATTGCATTTTTTTTTTGATTCACAAAAGATCTTGCCCCAAATCTATTCTATTCTGACTTATGGGCATTCAGATGTTGCTTTGGATGTCACAACAAAGTTCTCCGTCACCATCCCCCATAAGAAAGACTAAACTTTATCTGCAATTCCTGATTTGTTCTTAAATCTAGAATTGAATTATCAAAGCCACAGGTCATGGTAGAGAGAAGAGGGGACCAAGAAAACAGAGGAAGGTAATGGAAAATGTGACCAGTGTATGTAGTGAGACTCTGAGTCTTCAATAGGTCAGTTTCAATCATGGGTCACTGATCGAAGTCATTACCAAGGCAGTTAGTTCTCAAAGTGTGAGGAAATCCATTGGGAAACTCAACAGAGGTCAAACTTTATCTGTAGTTTCCTGCCATTCCTCACATGTCTAGACATTTTCTGATAAAAAAAAAAAAAGGTCATTTGGACACTTAAGTAAAATATGTTTAATATTATGATCGCTTTGTTAAGGACTAAATCTACTTATGTGTTCACCCATTTTCATATTTTTACTGTATCGATCAGATTAAAGGCTACTGTAAATGATTTAGATATCCAAAGTCAGCCTGTGGCTTGGAGATAAACTAGGAGGGCCAGGGGCCAAGCTACCACTGGACAGAGGAGAAAGAGAAGCCTTCATAGTTTCAATCTCTGAGAAATCTTGTGATTTCAGTTGCAGGGAACCCTTGCTTCGGTGAAGTTGTTCTTGGAATTGGATCCTGAAAGAGTGGCCAGTATCCATTGGAAAAATAAAGACTATTTTGTAGGAATCCCTGTCTTGCAGAGACTTTTGCTTACAGCATGATTTCCACTGCTTAGCAAACTGTCAGAACTTAGACTCACTGCCAGAAAAAAAATAAAAAAATAAAAAAATAAAACCAAACACTCATCCTTACCTTTCTGGAGACAGAGAAAAAAAGGAGTCACACTGTACTGGGGCATCACTTTAAAGGTTAATTGTGGCATTAGAAAGCCAAGGGTATTTGATGTTTATAAAGAATCAAATTGTTGGCTGGAAAATAACAAGTCCATCTGGTGGCCTAGAGGTCAAGTTCTTCATGTCTAATCCCAGCCACCCTTACAGTTGACTCAAGAAGTAAATGTTCATAAACTTCCACTGGACTTCTTCAAATAATTTATAGAATTTAGATTTACACAGATTGTCAAGAGTAGTTGAAAATATAAAACTGAATTAAATGAATTTATCTTTCACATTAATGCTCAAAGCTTTTCATCAAACAAAAAAAATGTATTTCTTAAACATCTTGCATTCTTGGAACCAGCAGTTGGCGTAATAGCTATGTTGCTGGATTCTCCCATATAGTCAACAATGGTTCGAGTCCCAGACTCTGTGGCTTAAACTCACGCCAGGCACATGTGCGTGTGTGCCCAAGATCTTGAGAGGAACAATGGAGGAGAAAGGATTGTGGCATGGCTATCCCCCCTGGGGGGTGATTTCTCGCTTTCTGTTTCTCTGTCTCTCTCTGTCTTTCTGGTGAGCACACACACCCTATAGCAAAAACCTTTCCAAAAAAAAAAAAAAATCTTGCACTGTTAAAATATCTAGGTTTTATCTTTAACTTTCATGTTTACTTAATGAGATGAGACTAAGCTGGAAATAATCCCAAATTTTTCTCTTTGGTCAAAGGTCAACACTTCTATACTTGGAATGCAATCAAATATCTCACTAGAGGATTTCTTATTAAAAAGTTTTATTCAATGCAACAAGTTATATATCTGTTCTATAGACAGAAAGTTCAAATACCTGCAGTGATTTGATTTAAATTTCTATTTGAATTAAACTGTTGAAGATATTTTTCACATGTACTTCTTTCAGACAAATTGCTGGAACCTTCCTTTAAATGAACACAGATGTAAGAAAAAACACAGTTATGGAAGCCTAGTTCTGGGCTTAGTATTAGTCATTCAGAGCCCAGAGAATATGGTCGTTTGCCTCACTATGAGCACATGTCTGTGAGTTCTGAACCCTCTAAAGCAGAAAAGGAAACTAACAACCAAAATGGGCTGAATTATTTTAAGGGAAAACTAGGTTATGAGAAATGTGAATAATAATTCAAATAGCTTTTTTTTAATTGTCAGAAGGTGTGCATGCTCACCAGAGACAGAGAGAGAGAGACTGAGAGAGAACCTTCCCAGTGGGGTGTGGTCATGCCACAATCCCATTTCCTCCAAATTCTCCATCCGATCAGGATTAAGAGCACATATGCATATGCACCTGGCATGCTTTTCAAGCTGCCAGAGCCAGGATTTGTACTGCAGTCAGCCATGTGTATTCTAGCTTCCTAAGCATCTCACCTTACAAAGAGAAGAGTTTAAATGATTAAAGCTGAAATTACTGCTGACATTAAGAAAACTAACCTCCCTGTATATTTTGCTGGAGTCAAAATGTAAAAATCACTTTTGATCTACTGTACAACTCTATAACAAGTTCCAGAATCCGTTCATAGTTTACATCATGCAGATCTGACAATACTGAATAATCGTTCAGCCTATCAATAAGCATTCATTGCTTGCAGAATCCTGTACTGAAGCGAAGAGGAACAAATGAGGACAAGCCCTAATCTCTGGATAGTAGTTCGCAAGCTTGAGAGTGCAAAAAGACTTACCAAAAATACTGGTTAAAAAATAAATAAATAAAAGCTACAGATTTCCTGGACTCAACCAGCAATTCAGTTTCAGTAGGTCTGGGGTTTAGCCAAAACAATCTATAGTAATTTAATATGCATGTCAGGTTAGTCTGTTGATAACATTGTTAGTAATAAAGTAAGCAAAGTAAGAATGTTAGTATAAGGCCAACTCCATGGTGCCTTTATACTTAACAGTGACTAAGCGCTATGTCCTGGGAGCCAGATCTCAGGTGACCAACTGTAGTTCAAATCTCAGGGTAGTCCAGAAGCTAGAAAAATACACGGTGTGTGTGTGTGTGCTTGCCCCAAATCCTGACAAGATAGAGAAATGGAGAAAAAGGGATTGCAACGTGACTACACCCCATTAGATTCTCTCTCTCTCTCTCTCACACACACACACACACACACACATACACACACTCGCAATTAAAAGAAACTGTTGTTAGGATTAAATGTGAACATCTACTGAGTAGTCAGTGTGTTCCTGGATAATGCATTTCACATGCTTTATCTCATTCAGTTCCTGCAGCTCTATGGGGCAGCTGCTATTGTTAACCCTTCTGTGTAGATGGGGCAGTGATGGAGGAGCTCTTGTACAATGGACTGAAAAACCAGCATTGTAGGTGTTTGAGGCTGGCCTGGTGAGAGGAAGGGTTGACTGAGAAAGTAGCTGCCTGAGTTTGATTTATTTCAAAGTTTGTCACTTCTTAAAAAACCATTTTGCAAATACATGGAAAAATGACACCATTTCTTCTTATAAGAGAATATAATGAATGCTTATGAAAGAAAATTATGTTATTCATTTATTCCTTTTAAAATACCATAATGTTCATTTTTCAATACACATAAAGGCAACCCAATAATGTGCACCTATAATAGGATATTTGGTAAATTTATTTCCCTTAAAACAACCACTTACTGAACTGTCACCCCTCACCGAGAATCATCCTTCTCCCAATCTAACTCCTTAGATTCATTTTGCTGGTTTTTGAACTTTATATAAACAGAATTACAGAGGAAGTATTCTTTGATGTCTGTCTTCTTCCTTTCGACATCATGTTTGTAAAACTTTTCCACGTTGTTGCCTGTAGATAAAATCCATCTATTCTCAGTATGGAATAGTGATCCTTTGAATAAATATACTGCAATGAGTTTATACATTCTGCTCGGTGGACCCTGAGGTCAGCCGCAGTGCTGGACATTGTGAATAGTTCTGCCCTAAACAGAGGTGTGCACCCACGTGGTTTTGGTGAACATATGTATGCGTTTCTCTGTGATACCGACCCAGAAAGAGAAGTGCTGGGCTATGTCGAGTGCATTCCGTTTTTGTAGGTACTACTTAGCACTTTCCCAAAGTCATGTCACTAGCTCAGTCTCACAAGCAGCTGTCTGGAAAGTCCTGGGGTTTTTTCCACATCTTTGCCACCACCAAAGGTACTGTCCTTTCTCATTTTTGTCATTCTGGTTGTCGTGCACTTGGATACCGTCATGATTTAAATTCACATTTCCCTGAGTAATGAAACAGTAATTTTATGGTCTGCTTGAATATCTTCCTTTAAGGAGCATTTACGTCTTTGTCTGTCTTCTATTTAGTGACTGCTTTTTCCTTATCAATTCATGATCATTCTGCATAGCTTCTGCTCCTTTGATAGATATTTGTATTGCAAATATCTTCTTCCATTCTGTGCCTTGCTTTTTCAATATTTTAAAGACTATTTTAATTGTATTGTAATCCAGACAATAAGCCTTTTCTTTTTATGTCTTTAAAAAATTTATTTATTATTATCATTTTAAAATTTGCTCCAAGGCATGTGTACTCACCACAGAGAGACAGTGAATGAGAGAGACATACAGAAAATGAGAAAGCAAGCTGCCAGTTCTGGGACTTGAACCGTAATCAGTCATGTGGGAGTCCAGCACCTTAACCACCACGCTAC